GGGCACTACAGTAGGTCAACGCCACGTGCCTTACCGCCAAACCAGACCATTTCAGGCTTTGAGAGCCACACTATCTCTGCGTTCTTTGACACTGTCATGAAAATCTCTCCTTCGTGAATGTGGTTCTCCTCCAGCCCCTTTGACCATTCCTTCTTACTCTCACCTGCAGGCACTCAGTCCTCAGCCTGTCCCTTTTGTGCACCTTCTTCAGGTCTGCCCGGGGTCCCTATCCTATTCTGCACACCCTCTTGGTGACCACCTCCCTCCCATCGCTTCAGTTCACATGATTTAGTGGTGATGCCATAGTAGGTGTCTTCAGTCCTGACCTGTCTCCTGGGCTCCAGATCCAAATTTCTTACATGTATTGGGCACCATAGCCCATTACCTGCCCTTCCACCATTTCCCATCATCTGGACAAATTTGCTCCACCTCCTGTCTCCTTGGTCTCTGGTTATGGTCCAATTAATGCTCAGCATCTTAAGCTAGGAATCTAAGGATCATGCTGGGCTCTTCCCTTTCCTTCACTGCCCACATCCAACCTATTGCCAAAATCCCCTTGATCTTACAGCAGAAATCTCTCTCCAGTCTGAGTCTCCCTGCCTACTGACACAGTCATAATGGCAGCTAAGAATTTATACTGCAGATGTGTTCCAGACACTTGCATTTGCTTACCCACTTGTGTTCTTTATGCAAGCACAAAATGTCTTTGCACACTCTTAAAATGCACTGACTTTTTCCAGAGAGGCCATCTTCTATGTAAATTGGGCAAAGATGATATTTTTACTTAGTTTGGAGGTTTAACCTTAGTTAGTTTGTCTAACCACCTTGTGAGATAGGCACCACTACTCTCCCCATTCTACAGGTGAGGAGACTGAGGAATACAGAAGTTGAAGAACTTGCCCCAGGGTCATCCACCCAGGTAGTACCAAAGCCAGGATTCAACCTGGCAGTCTGGCCCCATGTTTGCGAGCTTAACCTCTTTGCTATGATCCATCTCCTGGCATTGCCCACTCCTTCCTACCACGACAGCATTCCTTCAGGCCTCTCTTGCATCAGCTCTCCATTCAACCTTCCTTCCCTCCTCACCCACACCCCCTCTAATGTTCTTTCATTAAGTAAAACTAGTCATGCTTGAAAACACCTACTGGCTCCCGACTGCCCACAGGATAAAACTCTTCGCTGGGCATTCCAAGTTCTTCATAGTCTGGCCCCGCCCACAGCTCCAGCCCCATCTTCCACCGTCTCATCCCAGGTGGAGCTCACACTGCCCCTGAAGCCATGCCCTTTTGCAACAGTGAGCCTCACACTCACTGTCTCCTGTACCTGGAATATTCTTGCTGCCCTCTTGGCCATTCAAACCCCCTGCTCTTCCCTTACCATCCGCTTCAGGCAGCATCTATTTGATGGTATTCTCAGGCAGCATCCGAGGGCTCAGCACTCAGATCTCTTACAGAACCCACTGCATAGTATTGCAATTTATGTTACAAATGGCACTTCCTTCCTGGTGCTTAGGGATGAATGACCAAACACTCAGAAGAAGGAATGGTTGGCCCCAGAACCAGCCTGCCGGGTCCTTCTGTCTGTGCTCCTGTCAAAAGGTTCTTGTCACGGGATCACACAAAATCATCAAGGCTGGAGAGATGTCACGTGACTTACTTCCCCTCACTCTCTGCAGCTCAGGGTGAAGAAATGGACACTCGCTTCCCTGTTCCTCTTCAAAGAAAAAAATGAAGGGAGATTGGAAGTCAAATTAACCAGCCAGAAAATGGCATGAGAAAAAAGATGGGACCATAGCCTGCAGACTGCAGGGGCCCTGAAGACCATCCATGCACAAGTCTTCAGTTTGCTCACAAGTAAACTGAGGCCCGGAAAGATGAAGGGCTTTACACAAGGGCAGCAACTAGTGAGGGCCAGAAACCGCACTGGCACCCCGGACTTCCGACTCCCTAAGGTCCAGGGATCTACCCTTATTCTGTTGCCTCTCAGCTTTGTCTTATCTTTCCTGGGACCAGGAAGTTAGGAGGCTCAGCAAGGCACTTCCTGTGGAGCCCATGGCCCTTGGTCATGTAGCTTTAGGACTGCAGTTCACCCAGCACCTGGCTGCGACTCCCAGGTGCACCAACTGGCTTGGGCCTTCCAACCAGAGCTTCACTGAGGCAGTGGCATCCTTTGCTTTCCTGTCTCCTGTCTGCCAAGCCCTTCTCTGGGTCAGGTGCAGAGGCCACTCTGACACAACCACTTTGTCTTCCCCTCCCCCCTCCCTCTACCTCCCACTTCCTCCCAGTTAGTCACAGTGAGGTCACGCTCAGCCTCTGGCTCCCAGGCCTCTCCTTAAGCACAGCGTGTATGTACAAGGAGAGGAGAGTTGAGAGACTGCAGAGGAGGATGCAGCAAGGCATCCTGGGAAAATGGGCTCTGGAGTCAGAGATGTGGGTTCAAATCCAGAAGCTGCAAGTTGGCCAATTGTGTCACCTTCAGCAAATTACCTAATCTCTCCAATCCTTTGCCACCTGTATATTGGGATAGTAGCACTTGGTTTAGAGTGAGAATTACATGAGATAGAATGCCCAAAGCAGTGAGTGTAGTGGCCAGAGCGTTACTTTCCATGTTGTGAAGAGTGAAGGCATAACTACCAATGCACTTCGGGAACCCTGGGTGCCCACCTGCAGGCCTGCAGGGGAGCTGGTGTGAAGGTGACCATGTGGGCTTTGGTGTCTGATGGCATCCAAGGGGCAGTGTGAGAGAGCAAAGAGCCTTAGGCAGGGTGTGGATGTGTGTGCTAGTGAGCAGAAAAGAGCCCCAGTGTGAGCGTGTGAGTGTGACCTGTGTGAGCCTCTCTTCCTCCAAAATTCCCCTTCTTTAAAGGGAAGATCCGTCGTGTCTGTTCTTGTCAGTAATGAGAAATCCAAAAGCCTTTTCCCAAGGGAGGGAACAACCCTCCCCCCACCCCAGGAGGCTATCCCAAGGGACGCAAACTCAAGGGACTCCCACACCCGGCAGAAGCTCAGAGACATCCCCCCAGCTGTGGGGAAACAGACCCCCAGAGACGTTCAAAGGGTCAGGGGCCTCTCTGTGGGCTGCCCAGGGCTGGAGCAGCTGCCTCCAGCCATGTCTCAAGCACGAGGGTTTCTTAATCCTCAGGAAGATCACACAGGCAGCCAAACCTCCTGGGCTTGTGGAGCGGGCCACCTCCAGACCGCCTGGTGTGGCCGCACCTTGCTGTGGGGTGGGCGCCTCCCTGTGCATCTCATCCAAGGGCCGGAGTCAGGGAGAGGGAGACATTGGGCTGGAGTTCTGAGGCCTCATGGCGGAAAGCACAGGGCCCAGGCTGCATCCGCACCTGCTCAAGACCCACCTTCAGGATCGCTGAATCCTCGGGAACCTGTTCTGTCCTCCTGCCCTTGACACAAACCTGGCCAAACTCTCCCTTCGATTAGAATCTGTCTCATAGTTAAACTGATTCTACAGCTGATTCTACAGCTTCCCACCCTTGGTAGCTGTTCCAGTGTTTAACAAGCCACGTGGGCTGCAAGTCCTTCCTCATAGCTAACCTAGATGTCTCTTTCACTGCAGCAGTCGATGCCTGTTTTAGGTCTCGCGTACAGACGGAGAGTAGTTGGCCTCTACTTGTTAGCAAACTTTCCCAATGAGCAAAATTGCAGAAGTTGCCTACCTAAGAGGTTTGGGCTTAGCACTGAAGATTATTCCTCTCTCTGACTGTGAAGGATGTACCCAGAGTTGCGAGTCTTTAAGGAAATGCTAATAGTGACTTCAAACCACTCTGCAGCTAAAGGAGAATACACATCTGAGTCTGACCTCCAGCCCCACCTCTGACTTCTGTCTAAACCTGGACTCAGAGTACCAGCTGAGAGGAGTTACCCAGTGCACCCCCACATCGGGATTGCCTTCCATTCCCCCTTGTGGTCTCCTTCTCTCCCTGCTCTTCGCTGGACACACTCAAGCTCCTTCAAGAGCTACATTCAAATATCACCTCCTCTGTGAAGCCTGACCTGAACTCCCTGGAAGAATGAACTGTACCCCTTCCTGTTTGATACCACACTTCTTACGCACCTCTAGTAGAGCAGGTGTGAGATTGCATTATAATTACCCACTTCAGAGCCTCTCTCCCCTCCCTCCCCCTCTCCTGTATCTTTCCCACTCTTCATACTAGACTGTGAGCTCCTCCAGGGCAGAAACCATGTCAATATGCTCTTTGCATCCCCATTCATGGCATAGTGTATGTGCCCCCGACCCCACAAAACTTATGAGGTAAATTAATTTTTCAGCTGAAAAAACGCAGATGGTCTTAGACATCCCCCTCTCGACAAACGCTCCCACCATCTGTCCTTGCCCTCACCTCTGGCTTCCCATCATCCCGTAACCTCAAAGGCACATTCCTCTCCCTCTGCCTCACCTTTCTCTTTAAAGATGCAAACTGTCCACTACCACCTTCCCTGCCTGAAGACCTCCCTGACCTGCTCCAATCCCCCCAGTGTTGGCTTCTTTCAAAGGCACCAAGCTTGTGGCTACACTGTCCCACCAAGCCAGCTTATATACTCCCCTCTCTTGCCCCCCACTTTAAATCAGGAGTTCCTTGAGGAACCTGAGCACCCCATCTTCCAGACCTCCATCAGTTCCTCTACATACACATGGTCCCTGCAGCCAGATTCGTCTAAGAGGCAACTCAGGCTTTGGCAGGAAAAGAGCTGTTGTCTTAGATTCTGCACCATATTTGGCCTGAAGTTAATCTAATTGCTGCTCTGTTGGTCAGCACTCTTTTGATGGGGTAGTGAAGAGGAGACCCCAACAGTGGATTTGGGTTAGGGGATGCGCTGGGGTGCAAACACACTTTAAAGGCTCCTTCCAATCCTGAAAGCTATGAGGCTACAAATAAACACCCTCAAACATAATGAATCTTCTTTATAATCCCCACAGTGGACATAGCATGCATGTCACCCCCCACATTTATAGAATTAAGGTATTCTTCTGAAAGTCCTTACCTGCCTGTTGAAATCTAAGCCATTTCGATCATTTCCTAAAAGAGAAAAAAAAGAAAAAGAAAATATTAGTTGCTAGCAGAATTGGAAGAGACTGAAGATCAGAGAAAAATAGGATGTTAGGAGGCACTTGTCTTTATTTTGAAATAGAACCCCTTCTCCCCGGGTGGCCAGGATCCTCCGGTTTTCCCATTCCTGGAAGGGTCTTTAGAGAATATCCTCCAGAGAGGTGGATGACCAGGCAAAGGGGACCCTGACTTGTTCAAGGTCACATAGAGTTCATTGGGGTAAGAACGTGCCATACCAGAGTGCTATTCTCCTGTACTCCCTTCGAAAGAGCTATTACATTCACATTCATGGCTACGCAGGCAATGACCAGCCGCCAGTCCTAACAGACTCGCCTGAAGGCAAGAAGTGCTCACACCATCCCAGCCCTCCAGGGGCAAGGCCACCTAGATCAGGCCAGGTCAACAGATGTCTGTCCTGTTTTTTCTCCCAGGACTTTCATTTCTTATTTTGTTCATCTTTTCTCCTTTACAGTAAGTGTTGGGTTGAAAAGTAAATATGTGCTTGATATAGAAGACTTCTTGGTACAGAAAAACTATAATTGTTTTGAGAGACAGCTGTAATTAATATTTTTGTATATTTGATGGTCATTTTTATGCTTGTTTTTCCTCATTGATACAGAACATGCTGTATACATTTTTACCCCATTTTTTCCCAGTGAGCATGATCAATAGTTCTCCTATATTATTAGGGAGTGTCATATATTTTTCTCCTATGCTTACAAACATTTTCAAAGGCTACATAATATTCTATTCCATGAACATACCATAAGTTGTTCAAATATATATCTATTGTTAGGGGAATTGTTTCCATTCTTTGCTATCATAAAGTTTCTATTCATAAAACTCTTTCATGTAGCTCTCAGATAGCCAAAGATTCTTCCTTTGGCTCCCATGAATTGTTGGCCCTATAATGTCAAGGAAAATGACTATTAAATACCATACACTCAGAACCTAGCACTGGGCTTAGTACACAATAGGAACTCAAAATACATGGTTATATGAATGGATTAAATGAACAACTGAATGAATTAAAAAATTTCAATCAGAACATTCTTCTGCTTTTCATTAGATTTTCAACAGCTTTAGAATAAAGCCCAAATTTCTTAGCACAACATACAATGTTCCATATGACCTGGTTTCTGCCTATCTTTGCTGGTTTGTCTTCTGCCACTAATGATCTTATCTCCCTCCCTCCAGGGTACCCTGAGCTCCAGCCACACAGAATGCTTGCTCAGGTCCAAACACTCCACACCTCTCATGTTTCCATGTCTCCATGCGCTCTCCCCTTTCACAGAGTTAGTCCCTGTCCTCCCTGGAACCCAGGAGCCCTCTCTGTCGTCATATGGTACTTGTCATGCAACTCTGTTTTGTCTGCATGCTTCTCTCTCCCACTACTCTATGAGTTCCTTGAAAACTAGGACAATGATATTCATCCTTAATGGCCACCACAGTTCTGGACACAGATCAGGGGCTCAAGAAATCCCTGATAGATGAATGAATAGGATCCAATAAAATGCTCTGGAGTTTTAACTTAAGCTGCTTTTCCTCTGCTCCATTCTAAACAATGATGGAGAAGCAGATGCTTTCCTGTGTGACTGTGAGGAATCTTCAAGAGCAACTGAGCAGAGAAGGAAGGGCTATGGGCTTCGGGGACAGAGGAATATGGGGAGACAAGTGACCTCTGAATAGCAGCCTGATCTTGAGATCAACTAAGACAATCCATAACATCTGCAAGTGAAGCTAAAGGTAGGAAGGGCCCACAGACTGAAAATAGTTGTGCATAGAGGAACAGACCTAATGGCAAAATTGCTTTTTGTTATATTTCAGTTATAATGGACCTATAACACTATATTAGTTTCAGGTGTGCAATGTAACAATTTGATATTTGCTTATATTGAGAAGTGATCACAAGAAGTCTGATTAACATCTGTCACCATATTTAATCACAACATTTTTTTCCCTGTGATAAGAATTTTTAAGAACTACTCTCTTAGCAACTTTTAAATATGCAACACAGTGTTATTAACTATAGTTGCCATGCTGTGTATTGCATCCCAAGAACTGACTTATTTTACAGCTGGAAGTTTGTACCTTCTGACCCCCTTCATCTCTTTGGCCCCCCCACCCAGCAACCCCCATCTGTTCTCTGTATCTATGATCACATTTTGTTTGTCTGTAGTATCTACACATAAGTGAGATAATACGGTATTTGTCTTTCTCTGACTTATTTCACTTAGCATAATGCCCTGAAGGTCACAAATGGCAAGATCATTTTTTGTTTTTTATGGCTGAATGATATTCCACTGTACATGTACAGCACATCTTCTTTATCCATTCACCCATCAGTGGACACTTAGGTTGTTTCCATGTCTTGGCTATTGTAAATAATGCTGCTACGCACATGGGAGTGCACATTGTGTATCTTTTCAAATTAGTGTCATTTTCTTTGGCTAAAAACCCAGAAGTAGAATTGCTAGATCACGTGCTAGTTCTATTTTTAACTTTTTGAGGAGCTTTAATCTTAAAAAAAAAAATCCTTTAGTGACTTTGTAAAATTGGCTAATAAGGAATACTCAAAGTTTTGACAAAAGAGCAAATCCATTCATTCAACAGGTATTTACTAAGCACACTGTGTGTGCCAGGCACTGTTCTAGGCACTGGGGATATACTATTAGAGAAGACAGACAGAAGTCTTTGGCCTCACGGAGCTTCTTTGCTAGTTGAGGAGATATCAAAAGAATAAGAGAACAAATACATAATTTCATTTAAAGGTAATTAGTGTAGAGAACAATGATACATGGTCAGGGGAAAGGGTGTCAGGGCTATTCATAAGCAGGGTGCCTGGAAAGTCATTCAGGGGAGGTGACATTTTGAGTGATGGACCCAATCATTTGAAGGTCTGGGGAAGATCATTTCAGGCAGACAGATGAGGCAAGAGCAGGCTTGCATGCTGAGCCACAGTGATGAGACCAGGATGCCTAGTAAGTGGATGGGGTGACCAGGAGCAAGATGACCTGGATCTGAGAATCCAGGGAGAATACTTCAGCGTTTACACCAAGGATGCTGGGAAGTGATGGAGCAGAGGAGGAACATGATCTGGATTCAGTGTTGAAGACTTCACTAACCAGCTCTAGAGGGTAAGAGAGTTGAGAGCAAGACCGATTGGCTATTGCCAAAAGCTATTGCAATGGCCCAGGGGGGCCATTGAGGGACAGCAGTGGACCGGGTGGGATGGTGGCAGTGGGTGGTAGGAGAAGGGCCTGGATCTAGACCACATTTTGAATCGATAGCTGACAGGACTGGTGGATGGTTGGGAGCTGGGGTGCAAGGGAAGGAGGGGAACAGAGGATGATTTCTAGGGTTGGGGCTTTCTTGATAGAATGAATGGTGGTGCCATTCCCTGAGATGTGGGTGACTTGGGAAGACACAGGCTGGTGGCAGAAAATCCAGAGCTACCTCTCTGGACGTGTTAAGTTTGAGGTGCTAATTAGATATCCTAGTGGAGGTGGGGAGATGTGTTTGCACTCAGGAGAGGTGGAAGGTCAGAAGTATAAATCGGGCAGTTACCAGCTTCTCGGTGATATTTAAAGCCATAGGGCTCGGTGAAGTTACAAAGGCGGAGGAAAAACGGGTCAGGGCTGGGATGAGAAGGAGGAGTCAGCAAAAGAGACTGAAGAAGAGCAGACGCTCCAGGAAGCCCAGAAGAGAGGAAGTGTTTTCGGAAGTGGGTGGTAATGCACATGTGAACAAGACCTAGGAAGTGAGAGAAACACAGAGGGTGCAGGGCAGCGGGGGGCAAACCCTTGGACACGGAGCAGTCATCAGGTCTGTGGACAATTAAGAAAGGTCTTTGCTTTTAACGTCTGTGAATGCCATTATCATGCTCTTTGTGAGATCCACAAAATGAAAAAGGTCAGCGAGCAGAACTCAGGGATTAATTTTAAAACTCACCAGCCAACAAAATTAACAATTTCTCTTGCCCAGAAGTTTTTCTGCGGCCTTTCTCAGTAGGATCTCTCAAGGCGAGGATGCCTCTGCTCCACTAGGGGCCTGGTGATCGGCTGAGTTTCCCTTCTCATCAAATCATTCTTCCTGGCATCTGTTTCTCTGTCTGATTTTCCTTGGATCCCAGGATAACTGAATGAGGGAGCCCAGCCCAGCCAGGGCTCCCCGGAGACGGACCTCAGGACATTTCAGGGGGTTGGACAGTAGCACATAGGTCAGCGCTGGGCACCTCCCATGGCTCAAGTCCCCGGAGCTACTCCCATTTCTGATTTTGATTCCACTGCTCAGCAGGTAAGAGTGTTCTTGGGAGACATGGCTTCCCTATGGCCCCCCAAGCCCATGCGAAGGAGCTCGGAGCATCTGGGGTTCTAAGTTGAGATGGTGATGTAGTCGGATAGGGGCATGAGTTAGATTCTGATGACACGGTTGATTCTGTCTCTAAATCCGTCTGATGGGGAACCGCCTCAGCCTTCATTTTACTGCTGTGCTTGTTCCTGCTTCTTGCTCATGGTCCTCTGGACTAGTGCCACCTGGCGCCTCTCTCCACCCAGCCTACGGGAAAGGCCTGGGAGGTGGTGCCTGGGAACTCTGGGCCAAGATCTAGCTCGCTGCGGCTCTGCTGCTGTCTAATGCTCTCGATTGCGAGTAACTGGCAAACCATTCCCAGGACTCAGTTTATTCACCTCTGAAACACAGAGGAAGGCACAGACAGCTCTTTCTCAGAGAAAGGAAGCGATACAATCACCAGAAACTTATTTTCTACCTCTGTAAGACGCTACGTGGAGGAACAGCAGGGCATACTTGGAGACAGTCCTAGACTTGAAGTCAGAGAACTGGGGTTCGAGTTTTAGCCCCATTACTCCCAAGCTGTGTGACCTTGGTCAAAGCAGGAAACTCCAGAGCCTCAGGCTTTGGAAACGGCAAAATAAGGTTATAATTCCCATTCTACTCACTTCCCAGAAATA